TTATTTTAAGATTATTTTAAGATTACTTTAAGATTACTTTAAGATAATTATAAAATAAGATTATTATAAGATTATTATAAAATTATTATAAGATTATTATAAGATATAATTTTAATAATTTTATTATAATCTTTAAGATTATAATAGTAAATAGAAAAAAATTAGCTAGTTTCTGTAAAGTAATGAATATTGCTAAATAACACTTATTTAACAAGACAAATAGCTAGAAAAATATATAGCAACACACAAGTTAGAACAATACATATTTATTTTTTAATTTTAATAACAATTTATTTACTCAGTTTATACCTCAAAATATTATTTAAAAAAAACTTTAAAATTTAATTCTTACTAGATAAGTTATTAATACTACTTAATTTATATTACAGATACCTAAAGAAATATACTAACATATCTGCAACTAATATATACAGGCAGTTAAGAATAATATTACTGACTAATATACTTTACAAATTCAATATCATCTTTATATTAACTTATAGTTGAAACAATATCAAAATATTTCGCAATACAAGATATCTAACTACCAGATCTAGCAACAGTTTGTCAATTGTTTTTTATGAACAATATAGACATGCCTAATACTACAATACTATAAATTCTAATCTTAACAATATTCAAGTAATATCCTCAATCCCAAACAATACCTTTATCAAAATATTATATAAAATATTAGCTAATATATACAAATATATATAACTAGAGCACTGCAAAAAAAATACTTAAACAAATACTAATACTAATATCTTTATTTTATACTTTTATACACTAAATTAGTATAAACAAATACAATAAATAGGCAAGAATCTTTTCTACAACCAATATATCTAAACTAAATTTAGTGAAGCCTGAATAGCCTATTCTAGTAGAGTTTTGGGCTAAAAATAAATTAGTTCTAGCTGTAAGTTCCTTTAATAATTTATATAACCTATTTTTTTATTTTTTTATTTTTATTTATTTATTTTTTTTTAAGAGTGAGGCCTAGCCTCGGTCTTTATTGAATAATTATGCATTATATTATTTAAATAGGTTATATGAATTATTACAGAGACCTTATATAACCTATTTAAACAATATAATGTATATAATTATTTAATAAAGATCGAGGTAAGACTTTACTCTATAAAAAAACCCGTGTCTAATAAGATAATGCAATAGCCATTACAAAATAACAGTTTATAAAAGAGAATACAGCTTTAGATAACATCTATAAAAGGCTAAATAACAAATTAGTACATAGTTATACTGATATGTAAGAATACTGATCTTCAAAATTAGTGTTATGTATGTTCACTTATAAAAGAAAAATTTATAATTTTTTTAAAAAATTTTAATTTTAAAAATTTCTTCTTTTTTTTAGTTTTTTTAATAAAAACTTTGATTTAACCCCTTATCACCTTAATACAAAATTGTAGAAATTTAAAATTAATTTATTTTTATTATTACTTTTATAATTTATTGAGCCAAATCCAAACTTATTTAGTAGTAACTAAAAAGTTCACTTCGGAAACATATAAAATTTTAAAAATTTTTTAAAATTTTAATGATAAAATTAAAAAATAATTTATTAAAAATGTAATATCTTTATTAAAATTAAAGATAGAATAATAAAATTTAAATATATTATTTATGAAAAAAATATCTTTAAATAAATTTTAAGAAAACTTAAAAAACTTTTTAAAAATCATTTAAGCGGACAAATTTGCCTGCTAGGGATAATCCAATCAGCTTTAAGATTTTGCTTTGGTTTGCTTATCAATAAGCTATACACTTCGTTTCACTACGTTCCAGATACACAAAATTTTGTTTACTATGACAACTTCCTTTCTGACCTTAGAATAAAAAGTTTTTAGCATGAAATTTCAGCCATAGGACAAAACTTTTAATATTAGGTATAGAGAAATTTGAAATGCCATGAACCTATATTTTTTTGGTACCTGATCATATTATACTCAACATGTATGCACCATGAAATAATTATGATGTAAAGTTTGGAATCAGTTTTATTTTTCATATGTTAAAACTAATTAAAACTGATTTTAACATATGAAAAATAAAACTGGTTCTAAACTCTAATGACATGATGTTATCATGTGCACTATAATCTTATCTCCTACTATAATCTGATAAATTCAAACCATCAATTATATTAAAAAAAGGATTTTCAAAAATACAGCATAGCGATTCATGTTACACATTCATGTGATCGTGCCGGTATAAATTATCCGCAATGTCAAGTTTTTTGTTAACTATAATTAATTGTTAAATTTCAATTGAAACCATCCACATTACCACAATTTAAATTATTTTCTATTATAGTCGATAAATAATTTTATTCAATTATTTTATGGCATTTTTACGTGATAAAATTATTGATCGTATTTCATAGACTGAGATAGTATATCATTGAATAACTATATATTATTGTATGGGTATATTGAAAAACCAGTTAAACACACGGGTTCATATTTAAATCTGTGGCCTTCGGCCACGGATATGAACCCATGTGTAACTGGGTTATACACTACATACCAATACAATAACTATAATATATTTCTTTAAGTGCGATTTGCAGTACTTAGAAACATTATAATCTTATATTTAATAGATTTAATAGAAAAAATAAATGTTTCAGAATTTTTGTGTGAGAATCTAATTTGGATAGTGTTATGGGCAAAATTGTGACCTCAAGCCCTTGAAAAAAATAACACGGAACTGATGCATGAACTTTATGCAAAAGAACCGTCATACCACAATGCCCCGAAATTCTAAGAACACGAATTAAGATCTCGTGAAAATGTATGTGCAAGCTAAGCCCCCATCAACGATCTCAATGAGGAAAAAGACACATTTCGGTATGACAGCTGTCAAGGTAATATTATCTTGTCGGGTAAAGTGTGTGTCCGTGAACGAAGGGACGTGAATGAGTCAATGAATGAATCAATGGAATCACAGGTAAAGAACGATGACGGCATGGAAGCCTTCATTTGACTTGCCTTCTTTTTCCATTCCGTTGAACGTTTTAATGAAAATGGCTGTGTGTAAGGAGTAGGGAATTAGACTGAAAAGGGTCGTATGCTAAAGTTCAATGGCGATATGATGAAAGAAAAAAGAATTAGAATTAATGAGAACTTTCGATTTTGTTCTATTTCTTGACCTGTAAAATTGTTCTTGACAAAGTAGTACTTGACCGTGTGCAATTGCCACTACATAATAAATAAAAAAGCCCTTTGTGTCAATAAAATATAGCGTTCTTTAAGTTTACCAAATCACCCTAGTTGTAAAATACTCAACCTGAGCCTTAGACCGTGTTGTCAATTCCGCCTCTAACCCGTTGAGTAAGCTTTTCTTTGGTGTGTGTGGGTTGTTCATTTGGCCCACGACAATAGAAATAGATATAAACTTTGTCATTTTTCTGATAAATTTGAAATGATGATTTTTGTAGTTGAAAAGTCAATTTATTCTGTTAAATGGGAGTCTCTAAACATACGCATTTCTGATTTCAAAAGTTTGATCAATAAGATTTTTTTAAACCTCCCACTTATTCCGAAATACGCTATTTTTTAATACTAATGCCTCTTAGTTTTAAAATTTTTTAGAAAATCGAAGTATGTACAGTAGATTTCCTTATTTTAAAATTCTTTAGATAGGGCGAAGCACTTGAAACAGTTTTTTACGATTAGATAAGTCAATACAACTTAGCGAAGTTCCTTTTTGTATTTTAAATTTCTCTGGATGTTTTGTTTTGAAACAAAAAACATTTACATGATCCGAATTTTTATACAGATCTTTTATTTATCGTTATATAATTTTAATTAAACTTTTTGTAATGCCCGATCATCGTAATCCGGCGGATAATACCGTTATTGGACGATACGCACCAATAACTGTCGTATCTGAGCCAGAATTTGACCGGTCGATGTTTGGGACCCTGTGGAGCCAACCCATTATCCGGTCAAATTCTGGCCCAGATACCTCCAGTTATTGAATGCTTTGCATCAAATAACTATCTATATATAAAATGTTTGATAGCCAATTTCCAACATTGACCAAGGTAATCTTAGTAGTGGTGAAATTTTTGGCTACAGTAGTGTTGAATATAGCAATGTGCATAGCACATCACTTAATGAAATGTTTTTAAATGAAAGTATACAAAAAGCAATGAAAAAAAAACATGAATATAAGAAGTAAATTTATAAATTTGAATTAGACTAAAATTTATATAGCTAAATATATATTAGAAAGATGAACAAAATTATAAAATTTATAAAATCACCGAACAGAATGCAATTATTTTGCACTAATTATAATTTATAACTGCATTAGATCTTAATCACCTCCATCTGATTAGAATAGTTATCCATCTGATTAGAATAGTTATCCATCTGATTAGAATAGTTAACGTTATTAATGTTGTTATTATAGCTTTTTTCAGAATTAAGATTCACACCAACTGTATGTTTGGTAAGATCGGGGAGGGCATCATTGATTTCAAGAATAATTAAAGCATTTTCAGCAAATAAGTTTGCGAATTTAACACTAAAAGTCAAGCCACGATACTTCATCTTTAACTTGTTTAAATGACCATTTCCATAAGCTCTTCCCTCCAAATTCATAGCGTATCTTTCATAGGAATGAACCCACCAGAATTTCCAATTAGCAGTTGGATTTTCATGTTGGTTATATTGTGTAAAAAGTTCGTTTAGGAGATTAGTAAGTGCTATTGCTCGTTCTGCCGCATTTTTTTCGATCATATATTTGGCGAAAAAGTATATAAATCCCATAATGGCACCACTTAACGGTATGTTTATCGATAATTCAACTTTAACTAGCTGCAAGATAAGTGATAATAAACCGTAACAAATCCCAACGATATAATATAATAAATTTTTTTGTCTTTTGAGTCATTAGTTCAACGCTTTGGATATGATAATTGATTTGTTTAAGTCTAGCATCAAACTCTTCGCGGGATAAAAAACCATGAAGATCAAGGCACCAGTCCGCTCTGAACGAATGACCGGGTTGATAATCACAACAACTGTCAACATCGTGTACAAAGAGAGGGATTAAAACTTTTTTCATGGTAAAAGATGAATGATTTAATTTACTGATTAAAGTTTAAGTGAAATAAGTAGTTCAAAAAGGAGAGGAATTATTTAATTTATTGATGAGGGTTTAAGTGAAATATGTGGTTTAAAGTGAGAGAATTCAAGCAATATAAAGGTTTTTTTTAATTCATGACGGACAATTAACTCCGTTATAGAGATGTTTACTGCATTTTGAAACCGTATGAGATTGATAAACAGGAGGAAACGTTGATACGTCACAAAATCGTTACACAATTGATAAAAAATTTTTTTATATTATTTTACAATAATTTTCTATGAATATTAAAAATGATTAAACAAACATGAAGCTCTCACTTTGCTTTACAACATATTTTTTGAATCCCCTTGAATCCCGTGGTTTCGTCTTTTTGTAAATTTCGCAATTTGATTGGTTGACTAATCCCGTAGTGATATTTTGACTGGTCGATACAATGAGTGATCTGTGTAATGGAGAATGAAAATCATATCTATATTTGGACGTTTCCTCCTGTTAGATTGATCAACTCCCAATGCTGCGACCAATTAGAAAACTTATGTAATCATTGCGTTTCAAAATTATGCATCTTCAATTCATTATTTTTCAAAATAATTTAATGTAACCTTCTTTATTCCGATTCCTTTTTTTTATCTATAATTTACGATGCTTAAACCTTCTTTATCATGATTCCTTTTTTTTTTAATCTATAATTTAAGATGCTTAAACCTTCTTTATCATGATTCCTTTTTTATCTTTGTGTATATTAAGTAGGTTATTTGCTTGTTAACCCTTTAGAATTTTGATCTGTTCATCTTTACTGTATCCGGTCATGTAGCGTGTTATTTTTGATTTACGTGGTGCGATCATCGTTTCTATTTTCAGCTATTGTGCTCGATATAAAAAAAAGAAATATTTACTCCCGCCATTTTTTTATATTACATACATATCATTCAAAATCATTCAATTATCAGCAAGAATACGTAGAATATATCATACGCATAATCAAGAATATCTTGTGTTTGTGCAGTCAGGTATTTTACACGATATAGAAATGATCTGCAATATACTAAAAGGTTATTCTAAAGTGTTGTTTATTACCTAAATATAACAATCAGTTTTAAAAAAAAACCTTTAGAATTTTCTTGCAAAAGTATTCTATGAATATGTAGTCTAGGAATCCTTTTGGATCCCTGAGGCTTTAAAAG